TGGGGTGGGGGTGTCACCACCCACTTTGGAGACCACTGGTGTAGATGTCCCACATTTTATTTATCCATTCATCAGTTGGTGGATATGGGGTTGTTTATAGTTTGGGTTCTTAAAATATGCTGCTAACAAGATACATTTTTAAATACGTCTTTTTCAGTGCTAGCCAGTTTTTACTTTCACGGATTCACACTAAGTAACCCATTGCCATCGAGTTGATTCTAATGCATTCTCTTGTTTCTTGCTAGCCTCTGAGACATTTGATTTTCATTTTGTTCCAGTTATTTAAAACTAAGGAGTTTTGTCAAATGTCTGATGATTCTTGGTTTGTTTGCTTATTTTTTCATGTTGAGATGGAGGGAATAATAAAGTACGTAAGTGGACGATATCATTGGTGCGCAGCTCTGCTTTTGCAGAAAGCCTCTTTCCAAGTGGGCTCATAATCTTCTGTGAATTCTTTTGGATTTCCATGCTATATCATTTTTAGTAGATTACTCTTTCATATCTATTATCTTTTCCAATCTATTCCTCAAACTGCCACCAGCGTTAACTTGATAAATATTTTACATACTCTTAAAAATCCCTTACGACTTCTTAATTAGTTTCAAGAGACATTTCCTCCCCTCCTCCTCTGCTCTTTGCTCCAGAAAACCAGAGGACTTAGCAGTCTCTAACGCTCAGGGTCCCTTGGCCTGTGCTCCTGTTAATGTGGTTGGCCTGGCTTTCCCTTTTCCCATGCTTTTTCAAGAGGGGTTTCTACCCTCGTTAAACCCACAGGGGGTAGTTCTACCTTATCCTGTAGGGCCGCTCTGAGTCAGAATCAACCAACGTGAGGGCAGTGGATTCGGTGTGAGTTATTAATCCCTTAAAAGTCGATTTAAATATCTTCCACACATGCTTTTTTGACTTAACTGAGACAGGTCAAGTTGCCATCTGCTGTAGGGTCTTCGTCTTGTGTCTGCTTGCACGTTGGCACTCCACCGTGCCGGATGCCACTTCCTTCCCTCCGCCCTCACCGGAGCGTTCACGTGCAGGACCCTGGTATTGCATCTGCATCCCAGATCTCTTGCACAGTACTTTACATACCAAGTACAGTTTTGTTGGATTTTTCTATCAATATAATTGTCACACATTAAAATTATACGTGTCTTATCTTTATTTGTAGAGGCGTGGAGCTATTTCCTATGACAGTTCTGATCAGACTGCACTGTACATTCGTATGCTGGGTAAGCATTATTTATTTTGTACAAATTTTGGCGGTTTTTGCTTATATATATAATGTTATTTGAAGTGGAATTATCTTTCGTAAGAACTTTGATCACTGCAAAGAGTTCAAGAAGAAAGAAAATGTTTTGAAACTGATGGTGGCAGCAATTGTACAATTATGCTTGATCTAATTGAATTATGGTTTTTTATAATATCTGGAAGAGCTCCCAATAAAATGATTCATAAAATTAGGGGGGGAAAAAAAGAACTTTGATCATTGACTGTTCCATTAATCGTATGTATTATGTTGAAGTATGGAGTCTGAAAATCGGTATCAGTGAGATATGAATAGAGAGAGGCATTTCGATGTTAGGTAATTGAGACATCCCTGGCTTAATAATGGACACACATACATTAGTACACATTTATTAAAAACTTGTCTTGAGTATTCTTCAGAAGCAATAAAAAGTCATTAAATACTAAAGAGACAAACACCAGCAGGAACAAAAGTGAGACCATGAAATACCTGATTAGCTCATGTCATC